GAGGGCAGTTTGTCGCCCAGCTGCAGAGCCATGAAAAGCTGCTGCAGGCGAACTTTCTCAGAGGGCATAACACGCTTAATCGTGGCCTCTTTGAGAGCCTCATAGCGGTTTTCGGTCTGAGAAAGGGTAACGGCACGAACCTGCATTGAAATCTTCTCGGGGAGATATGACAGGAGCTTGCTGGACTTCGCGTAGTCAGAAGTGATTCTGTGGTTGTAAAACTCAGCCTCAAGGAGAGCGAACCACAAAAGAGGATCCATGTCCCGAAAAGGTGGCACAGAGAGAGATTCAACGCTAAGGAGAGACTTTACGTTATGGTCTACAGATTCCATGGTTTAAAAAATGACGCAAAAATAGGCTACCGTATGCAAACATAAACCGCAAAATATGAAAAATAACTGGAACGAGCTCACCGGAGAGAAGTTCGAAATACACGGCGCTGAGATTCTTCCGGAGTTGGGGTCACCAATTTTGAGGGTTGCCTGTACCGGGAGCCCAGAGAGCGACTCGAGAAGACGGATCGAGTTGCAGGGAAACTTTTATTGATACAGTAAAAGATTCCCTGTTATCTAGCTATGAAGGAACGACACCGTGGACGCTCTAGCTAGGGGAATAGAGCATACACAGCACACACGGCAGTTGCGAGTTGCAACTGAAGCGAGCGCCAAGCAAAAATGGCGATGAGCGAGGCAAGCATTCGAACTCAGCAATCAGTTCAACAAACCACACCGGTTGCTTAGGTGTACAATGAAATAAATTTAGTTAGAATTTTACACAGGCAAACCGGGAAATCTCCAGATGGTTACAAAGACAGCACGGAAAGCAGCGGTGTCGTCGACAGCCATGACAGCGACTGAATCCGACAACGCACTTTACGGTGCATTCAAACCATCATCATACTCATATCAACCTAGGTCCGCGTTGCAACCCATGGCATTCTTCTCCACATTAACAGCTCTTAGGTTACAATGTCATCTTCGCTTTACTTTCACCAAGGCAAAGTTGCTTATTGTCCGCTACGGCAACCAGTTGCCTGCTGCACACCGACCGTTGTGGAGCACGATCTCAGATGAAGCGCCTTTCGCAGTCGAGTCGCGCTCTTAATGCCGAGATCGTGTTCATGTTTTTAACAAACGGGGACAACATTCCAACCGTCAAACTGCCTAATTCCCTAATACACAAGAAATCTAATTTGAATGTTTATAATAGTTTACACCTTCATACGGGGAAACTCCAGGTCACTACAGAAGTGTAGCGGACCGTTACCTAATGAGTTCTAGTGCTGGGGCAAAATGCAGTCTTAAGCAAAAACACAAAATAGAGGAAAAATCAGTGCACTTGCGTTATAATTCCTTCTTCAATCGATGTTAGTCTGATGCCGACTAGAGGTTCTAACATATAATCCGAGTAATGGATAGACGTGGCAGCAGCACAATCACAAGCAGCAGCAAAACCGAAAGCAGCACGACGCGAGCGCGTATAAAATATTGTGAATTTAAACAAATGGTACAAAGTGATCGGTAAAGAAAGTGATAAAAACAAAGATAAATTACCGCGTAATCACAACCACTACAGAACTCCCCCTAGAGCTTGCGCTGGTAGGCAAAGCTCGATATGTCGTTTATGGAACGTATTGTGCTAGTTTAGAGGGAAATGAAACAACACTACCTGAACGTGTGTGGATAGGATCGCTTGTTGCGGGCACAGGGATTCCCGGGTTTGGGAATCGGTTATGCTTTTGTCATTGGGCAACGGCCCAGGTACAGGAGGGTTGTGAGTAATAGTGGTTGATTCTGTACCATCTGACGTTGGCTCGACGTATGCGGGTTTAAAACGGTCGACGTGCACAGCCTCCTTGGATCCATTCTTATCCAGAACGAAGTATTTCGGTTTCCGCGACAAGACCTTGAATGGACCTTCATAAAGCGGTGTCAAAGGTCTTCGAACCGCATCGATTCGGATAAAGACGAACGGACAAGTGTGTAAGTCTGCATGTATCCCTTGCTCGCGCGTGCTTAGTCGAGGTGGAGTCGGTTTAATGGATCGAAAATGGTGCTTTAGGCGTTCAGCGTAGGACGTAGGATTCAGTTCGCCGTGGTTCGTGAGTCTAGTATCATCTCTCCTGGGAGTCTGAGGGTGGTGCTAAAGACAAGTTTAGCTGGGCAGCATCCGATATCTTTTTTGACGGTATTGCGAATACCAAGAAGAATAGCTGGAAGGCGTTCAGACCAACGAGCATCAGGCGAACTAGCTGTAATGGCAGCTTTCATTTGCCGATGAAATCTTTCGACAAGGCCATTGGCAGCAGGATGATATGCAGTTGTCTGGAAATGAGTACAACCGAGCAGTCGACTCGAATCACGGAAAAGCGTGGAACTGAATTGAGATCCTCTGTCAGTGGTGACAGTGGCTGGCGCACCAAAGCATGATATCCACGATTCAACGAAAGCACGTGCAACAGTTTCAGAGGATATATCGCGTAAGGGAATCGCTTGGAGAAAAAGAGTAAATCTATCAGCACAAGTCAACAGATAAGTGCAACCGTTAGAAGCTGGTAACGGTCCTACTACATCAAGATGTATGTGCTTGAAACGGGCTTCGGGGAGTGAAAAAGTACCGGGAGTTGTAAAAGTGTGTCTGTGAATCTTGCTTGTTTGACAACTAAGACAGGTATTGGCCCATCGTTGCATGTCTGTGTGCATATTGGGCCAGAGGTAACGGTCGGTACTTAGCTTCACCGTAAATCGAATACTATAAATAAATAAATAAATAAACTTTTATGCTCGACAAGGCGAGGCACACCTATACAGGCATGATCATGCTTAGCTAATATAGTATGATCAAAAATGTACAAAAAGTACATGCTGGCACAACAGTGTATGTAAATGTCTGAGTGTATATACGTATGTAATTTTGTATGAATGTAGCTTGTGTCTTTGAATATGCCGGAGCATTTTTGACTGCCTGTTATCCTCAAGAATGTGGGCATAAGCGATTGATGTCTGCGAGTTGGATAGCACTTTCCGGATATCCAGCGTGTATGGGTGTATATACGTATGTAATTTTGTATGAATGTAGCTTGTGTCTTTGAATATGCCGGAGCATTTTTGACTGTTTGTTATCCTCCGGAATGTGAGCAAAAGCGATTGATGTCTGTGGGTTGGATAGCACTTCCGGATAGCTACGGGCCAGTGACTTTATTTTGTGGCGAGTCACATCCGCCACGTCGCAGTGTTGTTAAACAGACATTTGTGGCTTTTTATAGGGAGAACGCTTGCCAGGCGAAAACCCACCACGTCCTGGAACACTGCCGCCGAACTATTTGCTGGAACCGGTTAAAACCGAACCAACCAGCTGGCACCACGAGGAGGTTGTTCAGCTAGCCAGCCAGGGGTGCGACAATCCATGAAGATGGTCAAAGACCACTCGCCAGTAGGACTGTGGAACAAACGGTCTAGGTTTACCGGTGGAAATATCGCAGTAGATTCTGGCGTCAGAATTGAGCACAGGCAATTGCAAGAGTTTTAACGTAGTGTTTGATCAAAGCTGTGTTAATTCTGGGTCATTGGATTGGGCAACATACATTTGTTCTAGATCAATGGGTGAGCGTGAAAACTGATGGCTGGAAGCACGTGATAATGCGTCGGCGACAAGGTTGTTAGGACCGTCAACATAGCGAATATCAACACAAAATTGGGAAAGATAATCAAGATGTCGAGTCTCTCTAGGAGAGTAACGGTCGGAAGTTGCACGAAAAGCATAAACAAGGGGCTTATGATCCGTCAAGATAACAAAATGTCGACCCTCAAGAATGTGACAAAAATGCTTTACAGCCAGGTACATGGCAAGGAGCTCTCGATTGAACGTACTGTACCTGGTCTGGGCAGGTTAAAGCTTCCGTGAGAAGAAAGACAAGGGTTGAATTTCGTTATCCACGAGCTGCTGCAATACGGCACCAACGGCGGATTGCGAAGCGTCTGTCTTGAGGATGAGAGTGGCGCTGTCGTCCGTTCTCAAGTAAGCGAGTGAAGTAACTTGACTCAGCTTTTGCTTGACGGTGTTAAACGCTGCTTCGGCATCTGGTGTGAAGGTGAACTTTTGGGATTACCTTTGAGCAAATCTGTTAAAGGTTGAAGGATTGCAGCACAGCCATGTATAAATCGTCCGTAGTAATTAACCATGCCGAGGAAACGGCGCAGGTTTTTAACGGATTGTGGTAATGGATAGTCCAGCATGGCTTGCGTTTTATCCGTCAAGTGGCTAATCCCGTTGGCGTCAATTCTGTGACCTAGGAAGTCGATGGAAGCTTGGCCAAATACGCATTTGTCAGGATTAATGGTGATGCCGTGATGTGCAAAACGTTCGAAAAGTGTTTGTAGGTGAATTAGGTGTTCGTCGGCAGAATCACTTGCAACTAAAACGTCATCAATGTAAACAAAGACGAAGTCAAGCCCGCGGAGAACTTGGTCCATGAAGCGTTGGAAGGATTGCGCGGCATTTCGGAGACCGAATGGCATACGGAGGAACTCATACAATCCAAAAGGGGTGGTCACTGCCGCTTTGCAATATCTTCCGGGGCCATGGGAATTTGGTGATACGCTCTGACAAGGTCAATCTTAGAAAAGATGGATTTCCCAGACAATCCCAATGAAAAATCATGGATATGAGGGATAGGGTACCTGTCAGGAAGGGTAACGGCGTTAAGTGCCCGGTAATCACCGCATGGACGCCAATCACCGGACATTTTGGCTACCAGATGAAGCGGGGAGGCCCAACAACTATTGGATGGGCGAATGATTCCGAGATTGAGCATGTGCTCAAATTCACGTTTAGCCGTTTGGAGCTTGTCGGGTGGAAGACGTCTCGGTTTGGCTGACACAGGTGGACCTGTGGTGACGATATGGTGACGAACCTCGTGTTTGGGCTCGGTAGAGTCGGTATTGGAATGGACCAAAGCCGGAAATTGCTGAAGCAATGCTGAATCAGGCGTTGTGTCTGGCATGAGTACGCGATGTCCGACAGAAGTGACTGGGGCGAGATGGCAAGGGACAGTGTGCGAAGTGTTGTCATCCCGTAACTTCCTGCAACGTAGGTCGACGGCGAGGCCGAATTTGCTAAGGAAGTCGATGCCAATTATGGGTTTCTGGACGTCTGCAATGGTGAAGATAAAAGGAAATACGCATCGTAAACCAAGGTTTAGGTGCAACAGCCTCTGGCCGTATGTCGCGATCTTAGTCTGATTAGCCGCCTGTAACGTAAGTCCGGCTTGTTGCAGAGGGCGTTTTTCCAAAGAGCGTGGTATAACGCTGATTTCTGCGCCAGTATCGACCCAAAAGGGAAGTTTAGTCGTGGAATCAAATACGTACAGGAGGCGAGTGATAAGTTGGCCAGCGGCAGCCGTCGCCATTACTGGCTGGCTTCGACGTTTCCCGATTTGGCAGTAGCGAAAGCCTTTGGGTGAGTGCACCCTGGGCGGCAGTTTCGTGCAGCATTACCAAACCGCTTATGGAAGTAGCAATAGGAGCGCGATGATCGTCTGCGAGAGTTGCTGCGAGGCCTGCTTGTGGAAGAGGAGCTTCGGTACGGTGTTCAAACGCGGTTATGGTGGGAAATGCTGAGTTCTAACTTTGAGAGCCCCTCGCTAATGGAGTCGAGTGTGGCAGTCCATGAAGTGCTTATCGTGGAGGCCTCAACTACATGATTCACAGCGTTTTTAAAGAAATTTTCGTGTACTTTTTCGGCCGCTTCCGCCAGCTTAGTCAGTGGAATGTCCTCAGCCAATACAGCTAGTATTGCCGTCGTGTTGGCTGGAAGATACTTAAGCCAGAGTTGGAAAAGGATGGACTCATCCAAGGTTGCTGAACCGACAAGGGAACGCATATGTCGTAGGAGCTGAGACAGTGTACGATCACCAAGCTCGACGCCGGAGAGTAGCTGTTGGAGGCGTGACTCGTCGGATGAGGTTGTGCGTTTTAAGATGGCTGCCTTAAGCATATCATAAGGTGATTCAGTGGGCATAGGGTCGAGGATATCGATGACCTCTGAAGCCCCGTGTGTAGGTAAATGGGCAATAACGTAAGAAAACATGGTAGATTGCGGGGTACTCTTACGAAAACGAAAGATAGATTCAACTTGAATAAACCAAACTCGTGGGTTCGACACATCGAAGGATGGCAAAGAAAATGTAACGGAGTTTTCGGATAGCTGTTCACAAGAAGGTTGAGCATACATAATGAAGAAAAAAACAAGGTATTCAAAAAATACGGGGTCACCAATTATGTAGCGGACCGTTACCTAATGAGTTCTAGTGCTGGGGCAAAATGCAGTCTTAAGCAACAACACAAAATAGGGGAAAAAGCAATGCACTTGCGTTATAATTCCTTCTTCCATCGATGTTAGTCTGATGCCGACTAGAGGTTCTAACATATAATCCGAGTAATGGATAGACGTGGCAGCAACACAATCACAAGCAGCAGCAAAACCGAAAGCAGCACGACGCGAGCGCATATAAAATGTTGTGAATTTAAACAAATGGTACAAAGTGATAGGTAAAGGAAGTGATAAAAACAAAGATAAATTACCGCGTAATCACAACCACTACAGAAGCTTCTCCCGCCTGGTTTTCCCGGCGTTACTATCAGGAAACTGCCTGTCGAAGTGCCGGGGGTCGCTTCACTTACCGGCACAAGAACTGTACGCTCGTTAGGGGGACCGTCACATCCGCCACTGGCGCGATTTTGAATGCGGGCTGTTGTTCATGAGGAAAACCTGTTTCTGCGTTCTGAAAAAGTAATCGTTTTAATGGAGGAATTTCTTTCGCAACGTGTTTCCAAGGTGTTCAAAATCTCCAAAAATGCAAAAATTGGATCTGTACCATGCTTAATTACAAAGTTGACTACAAGTGTAAAAGTTGAAATATAACACTAAGTAAGGCGTTAAAAAGGAAACGGAATGTAAAATATGGTTTATGTAAGTCCTCGGCATGTATTTCATAGAAGAATATATTCGGAGAATGTATGGTAAATGTTGCAAGACATAGGGGAGTCGGCGTTGACTAGCTGGCTTATGGAAGTGTGGATTGATTTCTAGTGCAGCTTGCATTTGGCTTTGTTAAATGTATAATGGATATGATGAAGAGATTCCTTGCTAATGGATAGATAAAGCAGGGTGTATGTGTAATCATGGTAAATGCGGTTTAAAGCTCTCTCTCTCTCTGTCTATATTAATATATATATATATATATACATATATATATGTATATATGTATCTATATGTGTAATAATATATTTATGTATACCTATGTATATATGTAAATATATTGGTACATATATATGTATATATAGATATGTATACATATATATATATATACATATATGTATATCTGTTAAAACGATATGTATATACTGATGCATAATGTGTATAATCATGTATATATATATACGTAATAGGAACTGTATATATATATATATGTATATATTGCACTGAAAGGCCCATGTGTGTATAAATGCATGGGTTATTGACTATTTTATACAAGATTGATAAGAACGAACGTAACCAAAATGAACGTTATATAAGGATGCAGTGTTAGTCTCTGTACTGAGGCATGCTGTTTGCATTATACCTATGACATAGTAGATGGGAAATATATCCCGATTTATATTTTGCATGGTACTCAAGTGATCCCATATCGCAAATGGGTATGCGATAAACATCTGCGGTTTATGAATATATGTATGTGTATATGCACCTGTATATATATATGTAAATATATATATACATGTATTTAAAAATCGCAAATGCATATCGCATAACCAATTGCGATATATACATATACAATACAATTCTGCTGCCATGTGGCTCAGACCAGAGACAATGCCAAAACACGCTGCCGGCTGAAGGGGGACAAGTTGGTCACCCACTTGTTGGCGCTGAGAGCTCAATACAACGACTTGAACTGGCCCTAGGGTCTGCAGCATCGGTCCTACAAAAGAACTACCGGCAACCGAGCCCACAAGGGTCGGCGTAAACTCCAACCGAAAACCAGAATCTACAAACACTCTTCTAACCACCGATGCCCTCACCTGCTTCTATACTAATGCACAAGGTCTTCTCAGCAAGCTAACCGAACTTCGATTTCGCCAGGTCTCCACGCCCTGGGACCTAGGTATGGTCACCGAATACTGGCTGAGCACGGAAATCGCGGATGCCGAGATTGCGCTACCTGGCATGAGTTCCCTACGAAAAGGTCGGCATAGCAGAGGAGGAGGAGTGCTTTTGTATTATCGATCCGACCTACATGTTGAGATCATTGATGACTCAGAAGCAAACATCAACGATTCTCTTTGGTGTCGTATGCACCTGAGACGTGGCGATGTGTGTTTGCTAGCAATAGTTTACCGTCCTCCAATGTCTACCTTGGAAATGGATCAAGGCCTTGCTGCTGCGATGAAACGAGTATTGACACGTCCACACAGTCACGTTCTTCTGGTGTGGGACTTCAATCTGCACGCACTCGAAGTTCCAGCATCGCCCAGCGAACAGTTCAAGGCTGATTTGCAAGAACTGATTACCGATGTACCACTGTATAACAATGTCACCTCTCCCACTCGTTTCAGAACTGGTGACACAACCTCTGTCTTGGACCTTGTGCTTACCAACGAGGAACTAATGACTGACACCGTTACCATAGCTACACCACTAGGTCGTAGTGATCACGCGACGTTGCACTTTCGTTATATCTGTTATTCGGAGTACGTTAGAGAGAACGACGGGGAAACTTATATGGTTACACATTACGACATTTTGTCTAACCTTGTTCAAGACACCAACTGGACCTTCCTGACTGAGAATCCGCCCGATGAGGCTTGGATGGTGTTTGTCACCAAATTCACTGAGCTAGTGGGAAATGCATCAGAACGCAAGGCCTTTCGCCCGAAGCAAGTGGATTCGTTCCTAAGAAGCCGTACGAGAAAATCTATGGCCTTAAGGGATTCGGCCTGGCACGCTTACAAAGTATGCCCAAGTAATCTGACCTGGGGAGTCTACACAACTCAACGAAACCACTGCGGCAAGTTGATTCGCGAAGACAAACTTCAGCACCAACAGAACTTAGCAGGGAAATTCAGCAAAATCCAAAGCTGTTGTATAGACATATCAACAAACTCCGTAGAGTGCAGCGCGGGATCCCGGTCTTGCGTGCAACAGATGGTCATGCGCAAACTGCACAGGACGCGGCCAACGTGTTTCGTCAACACTTCCTCCATCCTTTCCGGAGTGAACCATCCCTTCACCCGATTTTGACAGAGCTCTCACCGTTCCCAGGTTTACACAACGTATCGTTCACGGCAACCAATGTGTTGCAAACGCTAATGTCGTTGCGTGTGCACAGCTCGCCAGGCGTAGACGATATTAAACCGAAGGCGTTGAAGGCAGCAGCCCTAAACATTGCCGAACCATTAGCTCGGTTCTTTCAACGTTGTCTTGACGAGATGCTAATTCCCACAATGTGGAAACATGGGCTAGTCACTCCCATTTACAAAAGCGGTAATCGTGCGGAGCCGTCGAACTACTGTCCAATCACTCTCCTCCCAGTTTTATCCAAAGTAATGGAACGTATAATTGCGGAGGCGCTGATGGGATATCTGGAGAACAACAATATCATAGTGCCACAGCAACACGGATTCCGCCGAAATCGATCCTGCACTACAAACTTGCTGCTGGCTCGAGCAAGCTGGACGGAGTCAGCTGATGCTAGATTTGGAGTCGACGTTGTCTACCTGGACTTCTCGAAGGCGTTCGATCGTTTGGACCACCGCATCCTCCTACACAAGCTTCGAGGCTACGGAATCGGTGACCCTGTGCTTGGTTGGATCGCCAACTTTCTCACTCAACGTCAGCTGAATGTGAGAGTCCGCAGCTCCATGTCCGACCCAATTGACGTCCAGTGCGGTGTGCCACAAGGGTCAGTACTGGGGCCACGTTTATTTTTAACATTCATTAACCACCTTGCCAGTGTACTACAGTCGAACTTCTTGCTGGTTGCAGATGATGTCAAAATTTGGCATGACATCCGGACAGAGGACGATCACACAACACTGCAGAGCGATCTGGACAGGGCGTACACTTGGTCATCCGAAAACATGCTCCACTTCAATGTCGCCAAGTGCAAAGTCGTGAGCTTACGCCACCAGCTCATCCGTGAATACTTACTCGGGGACCAGCCGTTGCAACATGC